CGTCGGGGAGGCTCCATCTATTGGTGGGGAGAGGGGCAGCAATAAAGAGATTTTTTTTTTTTTTTTTTAATTTGGTCCATTTCTTGATTTGTGTCATCCTTGCGCAGGGGCCATGTGAATCTTCTCTGCATCATTCCAATGTTTTTTTTTTTTTTTTTTTTTTTTGAAACATCGGCGAGGGTGTGGGGGGTGGTGCTGATAAGAGCAGTCACCCCCTCTACACCCTCTCGTTCCATTGGTGGGGAGCTGCACCTGCTGGAAACCGGGTCCAGCCTCCCTTCACATCAAAATCCAGGAACCAGCTTTATTAAATTAGTTGTCATTGTTCAGTTTCCGGGGCCAAGTATCATGTCTCTTCCCCCAGCCGATCCCAAGGGCTCTATTGCCAATGTTGCTGGGAACCTTTCTGTTATTGCCCTTCCATTGTGGTGTCCGGGCTCCTTTCGCTATATCGCTTGGCGTCCAATCTCCTGGTTGTGTGTCCTGTTCTGTTCGTTGATCCATTCGGCATCCAACTTCCCATCAGCAAATCTTGCACGTCTTCCTATCCGCATCAGCAAATGCAGCTTAAGTTCAGGATTTGTAGCCTCATGTAGGAGAAAAAATTGGTTGCAAAAGGCGACCATTGTGCCACCAGGTGCTGGTTCTTGCCCAGAAGCAAAAGGCCCAGGTCCCAAGGAATGTGACAGGCTGTGAGCGAGTGAAACACTGTGTCCCACCACTGCCGTAACTGGGCCACCATCGGACAGGCCAGGAGGCAGTGTTCTTTTTTTTTTTTTTTTTTTTTTTTTTTAACCGAAACATCTGTGGCAACCTGCTATTGGAGATGATACGAGCATCCTCCAGTAGCAAGCCCCAGTTTATAGATGGCTCCAATCTATTGGTGGGGAGCATCACCTGCTGGAAACCGGGTCCAGCGTCCCACTGACAAGATTGAAGACGATATACCTGGCGGAACAGCATTGATTGCCCTCTCTCGAGGGTTGACTGTCTGCCCAATTATCAGCCAGGTCACAACATATATGAAAATATAGCCATGGGGAAGGTGGCAAACTCTCCTCCGTTCATCCTAATTCCTCACAATCATAACCGTGCAAAGCAAACACTAGGCCCCCTCCGTGCATAAGGCCGCTGCCAAGCTCCATGATTCACATTTTCCTCCAGCGGAGGACGTCTGCCTACCCTCCCTTATCGTAAGCTATTCACCCAGCGAAGATCAGTCTCACAGGATTGTTTTTATCAAATTACTGGCAGAGGATAGTAACATCCGCGACATATTTCATTCTTGTTATTATTAGTATTATCACACATCTGTCATGCATACTCTTCCCACTGCCATTTCGCCAACCAGAGGTCTGCCCATCCCTTATTAATTGTCCTATCTCCTCCCCCTATGCCCCACCCAATCTCTCGCTCCTCTCCATCGTGGCCCCCACCAGGGAGGGGGCAGGGGGAAACCCTAGGGTTAAAAAAAAAGACGACAGCAGGTGATATTTACGCAGGAGTAAAACAATCAAAACACATGCCAAACCCATCGAATCCAACCCCCCCCGTGGTCAACTACCTGAGCCACCCCCATCATTGTACGACGCCGCGGCTCATTAGTACTACCCTCTGGCGGGGAATGGCATACCCCTGCGATATCAAAAAAGGCCCTGTCGTCGCCATTGCTCAGTAAATCATCACACATGATATCATTGCCCGCAGCCTGCAAGGTAGATGACGAATCAATTGCAAAAAAAACTTTCAAAACAAGCGGGGGAACCGCATCACCTACCTCCGCTGAAGCACCGTTGTCAAACAATGATGATGATGCCTTTTGACCTTCCGTGGGCTGTTGGTAAGACTGTGAAACAGCTAGCAACAAACCTTCAGGAGAAAGCGCCCGGATCGCCGCTCCCACATCCGTCAAATCTCCATTATTTACTACAACAACCTGAGACTGATAGCCAAACGATATGGACACCACCATGGGATCGTCACTCAATTCATCACTCGCCTGAGCAAATGACCGCTGTTGCTGGACACAAAGTGAAGTATTTGGTGATGTCGCTGTTGTAGATGTTGTAATTGTCGATATTGCTCTTGTTGCCGCTGTTGATGTTGTTGATGTTGTTGATGTTGCTGATGTTGTTGATGTTGTTGATGTTGTTGATGCTGTCCATGTCACGCTATCTGGTGGACCGCCCATGTGTTTCCTTGCTAGAAGCCCGACAATCATGTCTTTCACCTGCGTCAGCATCCCAGCGCCCTCGTGTAGGGCGGTCGTCGCCTGTGCTCTGTCATCCTCATCCCACTGTCGAAGAGAAATCTGCTCGTACAGTTACTCCTCCCCCCCAACATAGATCTCTTCTCCCGCCAACAAAATATCATCCGGTAAGTTGCCATGTTTTATACTCAGCACCGCGTGCATCTCCTCCAGCTGCTGTTTATACAAGGTCACAATGGACAGTGCGGAGTCTTCTTCCACGGTCTGCAGGTCAAGAGGGGTTCCCCACAGCCCCCCATAAGCCAAGGTCTCCGTGTCCATCTCTGCCATCGCTATTGATGTTGGAAGCTGCCACCGCTATACCACTATCTGTCGATACTTTCACGGGTGGCGTTACCCTTTCCGCGCGTCGCGGGACACCTACGTCACCAACAGCAGCTGCCACGTGGCAATCAAGACGCCACACGCATCTGCCAGGCGCGCGTACAGGTCTAGCGGCCGAGGGGCTCCCTCCCCCAGGCACTAGTTTAGCCGGCAGACCGGGCCTTGTCGGTCTGGCGGCATCGGGGCGCTAGCGCTAGCACAGCTCCTCCAAGAGGTAGTGTTCTAATGTGGCGCGGGCCGGTGGTGAAGCTCTGCCACAATAGGAGCAAATGGGAGACAACAACCCTTTTTGTTCTAAATTTGTTCTTGTAACTAACCAGTCAAGGGTGGGTAAGCAGCGATGCACAATTTGCCATTGAAGGGCCCTGAGATTTGTGGGCATAATCTTTTAGTACTTACCCCACGCCAGATCGCTCACGAGCTCTGGGTCCAAAGGCAAGCCTCGCGCCCATCTTTGGGTTGTGGGATGGTTGATTGATATAGTTGGGTGGGCGGCTCTGTAGCCTCCTTTGACCGTATATTCCCATATGGCCATGGGTTTTGCCCCCGGCCACTCCCACTCATCCGGATCAAAAGGAAGCTTGGCCAACGGTGTGGAGGGGTTGTACGCAAATAGTCCGTTTTGTGGGTCGCCTACCACTCTGATTTGCATCAGCCCACCCCATCCTTCTGTCGCATCCATATCTTCGACCCTTGTTTGTTTGGTGAACATGGCCCCTAGGGACTGGCGTTTGTAGGCATGCAACGAACAAAGTCCAGCTTCATTGTTATGGACTTGGTATATCAGGGTCGGGTGAGGGAGGTCGTTGTATTTCACCACCCAATCTTCAGACTGGACTGTGGGACCTGTACGTTGGGCCAGGCGCCAAGCAAGGGGAAGGGCTTCTTTGAGTTCGAGTGCCTTCTCCTCCACATTCCGAACATGAACATGCTTCAATTTCAGTTTAAGTTGTTTTGCTGATGCCCAGTCCTCCGTTGCGTGATTCCAT